GCAAGGGTCAGGGCAGGCAGCAAACAGAGAATCAAATCCAATAACAGTCAAGGGTCAGTACACAGGGAATCCAGAATAATCGGTAGAGAAACGCTCAGAAATGTCGCCGGGGCAAAACAAGACTTCGCACTGAAGAAGAGTCAACGGGCTGTTTATATAGAACGGGGAATGAGGTTCACCTGTGCCGGTAATCAGCGCTAGGTACGGGGCTTATGGGAAATGGAGTTTAATACTCAGGAGACGGAGCTCTGGGTTGAGCGGAGAGAGCCACAGAGGTGCGATTCATGACATCAGGAGTGACAACTGCATTTAAATACAGGAGTGAATGCCTTAAATTATTGTTCCGTGTGTGTACTCCCAAATTGTGATGATGGACAGCATGGTAGCTAAGCATAGCATAGCACTATTTTTGACAAAAGTAATATTACAGCAACTAAACACTTGTTTTGTTCTGTAATAGGGCTGAAACTAACAATTATTTTGATATAAATACACACACATGCATGTATATTTAAGAAAAAATATATTATTTATATATAAAATATTTATAAATGATATATAAATCTATATACAGTATATACATGAAAATATTTCTTAAATATATACAAGCATGTGTGTGTGTTTACATATATAAAATAATTATACACAGTGCACCCACATATATTATGTAAACACAAACTTTTATTTTGGATGCGATTAATCGCGATTAATCGTTTGACAGCCTTATTACAAATACGCATTGTTTGAAATATTTCAATTAGAATGTTAGGGTTAGGTAAATGTTTTATTCACTTATGGAAAAATGGCAATATACGGTCAAACCAAACTAGTGAAATTGATTAAAATTTACATCTAGGTTTACTTAATAGTGATATTTTGATGAACGAAAACTATGATTTAATTTTTTTTTTTTTTTTTAAATGAGATGGGCACATTAAAATGTAGCTACTGCATAGTAGGAATGACTCAGCTGGGAACCTTAGATGTTGATTGGAGGGGAGTCATCATGACAAGAGGTAGATGAGACAAACAAACAACAGCGCTGATCAACTGATACCTCCGAAAATGCACAAACTAACTATCATTAGCCTATGCCGTTCCTGGGAAGCTCAACACAGACTACAGTGATTAGCTTCATTAGGAGAAAATAATTCATTTGATGGCTTTGTAGGGAGTTGGTATAATTACGCTAATTTTGCGGTGGCGTGATTGCAGCCTGGAGAACCTCTTGATTTGCACCAACAGTCAAGCAGTAATTATGACAGCTTCTGCCGTGTTTATTTGTTTATTTTTGGTGCAATCCAATGGGTGCTAGGCCATAAAAACAGTGCGGTCAACTGCAGACAGATCAGTGAGAATTCAACCCAAAAGCTGGAATTAGAAATGAATTAGCAACACCACACAGGAAGTTCTCCAGGCTGCAATGACAAGAAGATGAATTTACTGACTTCCGATTCAATGTTATATAACTACAATAAATATATATGAAGAGTTCAGATGCAAAAGCCTCTAAGTGCCATTTGAAATTTTCTTCTAAAATGATAATTTTTATCAAGCTTGTATATTTAAGTTCAGTAATTTCACTTAAATGGCAATGAAGATTACCTTTTAATTGTCATTTAAGTGAAATTGCTAAACTTAAATATACAAGCTTGATAAAAATGGTCATTTTAGAAGAAAATTTCAAATGGCATTTAGCGGCTTTTGCATCTGAACTCTTCAGATATACTTTCTGGAGGATGATGACATTAAAGAAGTGCCTTTTGTTATGTATAAAATTTAAACACTGCATCCTGTTTGGTATCTAAAATGAAATTGAAATTAAGAATTGAACTGACATTTAAAAGAGATTGTAATTTAATTCTAAATGGCACACCACCCTCGTGTCACACTGACCCAAGCCTTAGCCTCTAGTAACCGCTTTAAAGAGCACTGTCACTTTGAATCAGGGCAGGGCAGTGCATAGCAGAGAGTGAGAAGAGTGACAAGAAAGTGAAAGAGACAGAGGGAGAAAGTGAAAAGAAAGAAAGAAGAAGGTTGAGTGGCACAATAAAACCGGCAGTTAAACAAGCCCCAAATTCAGACTGAATTTCTTTCTATTTCAGATCCCATCAGCCTCTCTCTCTCTGTCTCCCTTCATTGCCATCACCACAGCAGTCTGGGTTTGGGGAGATAAAAGCACAAATCGATTTTGCTCCGTCATTTTGGGGGTTGGATCAGGGGCTAGAATCAATGTGTGAGGGGTCGCGACACGCCTGCAGACTTTCCCTCAAACACACTGGAGATGTTCAGAATGGAATATACTGCATACTTTGATAAAAAAAAAAACTACTACTGCCACATTTTTTTAAACACCAAGGTTACTGAATAATACAAGGTTACAATAAAACTAAAGCAGCAGATCTCGTGTTGAATAGAGTGAGCAAATATGACTTGTCTGCAATGCTTTTTGTCATGTTTTGCCCACACTCAAGGTATAGAAAGAGTCCCTGCTTAAGGATGTTTAAACAAACATAGACCACACAGGCTAACAGAAGTGAACTAACACCGTCTCTACACTGGATCCGCTGCAAATCTATTTGTTGTTCGTGTCAGAAATAGAATAGCGCTTGGAATTGGAACATTTGCTGAAAAACAACCCAAATGGCATTGAATTCTCACTGAAATGTATGAATATTGCCACTAACTGCATTGGCCCAACAACACTCACTTCTGTCAGGACCACTATCGTCAAATACGATTGACCATTAGCATATATTTGAATTGGCGGTATGGTTCTGTTCTGGGCAAGAACTCCCAGTGCATCTATGCAGCCTAACTCGGATAAGAGCAGGGAGAGCAGCAATAAGGTAGGGTAAACAGAACAGAACCAACATGAATGTATTGCAGATATCATTAATGACAATTTTTTAATTTACAACATAATTCGAGAACTTAGTCTGATTCAATGGGAATCGGAATGCTAAATCCTGACTGGACGAGAGGAAACGCGACAGCTGCTGATAATACTGAAGGATATATGAAGACAGTAGGGGTTTAACGGTTCACAAAACTCACGGTTTCGGTTCGATACGATACACTTGTGTCACGGTTGGGTTCGGTACGTTTCCGATGCAGCAAAAAGAAAGAAATGGCAGAGAAATGTCCTTGATTTAATATTTTTAATTATATTTTTATTAAAACTACCATCATAAAGTATGATATTTTACAGGCAGGGATTCGGCTGTTTTAGGTCAATCACTGGATGCTTTCTGTCTGATATAACTGAGCTATGATGGAGCTATACTTGACTTTTCTTAGGAGCATACATTCTAAAAAATGCTGGGTTGTTTTAACCCAATTTTGGGTCAAATATGGACAAACCCAAAATGTTGGGTTAAAAATGTAATGTAAAAATTTAACCCAACGGCTGGGTTAGTCCATATTTGACCCAAAGTTGGGTTAAAACAACCCAGCATTTTTTAGAGTGTATAAAACAAAACAGCTCCTTGGACAAAATTAAATGTAATATTGTAGTAGTTATAAACAGATTAACGTTTGAGAGCAGCAATTGTATTCATAATGTCAAAATAAAACCGACATGATAAAACCTACTATTTCTGGCAAACTTCAATGGTTACAGTTAGTAGTGTTTTACAGTAAATCAGTAAATGGTGTAAATGGTGAATGTTGCTGATCTGGTTTCCACGTCAGCGCTGTTTGATTCGTTAATTACGGAGAAATGTGAATGTTTCTCACTAGATCTCGCAGCGATGTTAATACTTCAGTGGCGATTTCAAATGCTTTCTTTACTGGATTTGGCCGTGTAGTAACAGTGCTGCTTGATTAAGATCGGCTCGCGGCCTCGTGCTGCATTGGTCCAAACTGATAAACGGTCCGTCAACCACACAATAACGAGTATCTCAGTTTCATTCCGCTTACATTACATTTGCCATTTGATGTTGGGCAATGTTGCAAGATGTCGTGCCTCTCTTACATTATGAGCGCACGTGCCACGCCTACATTTGAAATGGCGAAATTTTGGTCGGCAGAAAAAATAGTCCAACGAACAGTTCGGTTTAAAAATGCGTACCGAAAACCGAACCGAAAGCCTCGTACCGAACGGTTCAATACGAATACATGGATCGTTACACCCCTATAAGACAGTGATACGCGTCGTATTCCTATAGGTTGACTTGGATTAGCCGAGATTCAGCTGATGCGAGCTTGACTAACGTGACCAGCCAGAACTAACTGGTGTTATGCTCTTGGCCAATAATTCACTCCACAAACGCCTTGTGTCTGGCATAAACATCCTAGTTTATCTAGCAACAGTTCTATTTGAAATAGAAATCTAAATAAAATATAATTATATACATATATTTTAAATAAAAAATACTTATGATTGACCACAAACTTATGAACATTGGTGTAATTAACTGTGTCTGGGTCAAAAATATTTTTTAGGAGTCGAGGGCATGTCAAGCCACCTGTCCGCTTTGGCATCTGCCTAGATTGGCAAGTTTCAAGGTTTCTGCAAGCCACAAAATTAAAAATGGCAAAATACCTTTTAAACATTGAAAAGTCAGTTTATTTTGCTGATCTAACTATGCATGGTTTATATGACGAGTTGAATTTTGTTATCTGTATTCAGCAATGTTATTTCCCTTATGTCTACTAACCTCACGGCTCATTTTGGCCGAGGCTCTAGTGTGGTATGACATTCTAAATAGCCGTTAGCTTACAATTATTGGACTCTCTTCTAAACAACCACACAAGCTGCAATTTATGAGGAACGATATATATATATACTGTATATATATATATATATATATATATATATATATATATATATATATATATATATATATATATATATTTAACATAATGAACATTATAAAATGCTTTTCTGAATCTTCAGAGAAGGTTTTAATTCCAACAGTGTCAACCCACACAGGAACGAGGCCAACATTAAAGCGGCAGACGGCCAAAAGAAGAGAGATGAAAGCAGGCTTGCTTACCGTATTGAAATTAGGGAACAGGCCGACCGGAGAGGAGCTCTCCACAGGGAAGGTCATGAAAGGCTTCATGTCCAGACCGGACTGCATCATTAGAGAAGGAGTCCGAACCAACGCGGGGAGCGTGTTGCTATGACAGGAACTTCCTGGAGTGGAAAAAGAGGCAGACGGTCAAGACAAAGAAAAGACAAAACTTTCAAAGCTCTAGGGACAAAATACTTTTTCCTGCACTCACTCGTGCATAGATGAGGAGAGCAAGAGAAGGTATATTAGAGAGCGGGAAGCGATAAGAGGAAACTAACTCATCATCGTCGGCCAAAGAAGCCGAATACCTGAGCGCTCTGGGGAGGAATTTTGGTACAAAAGAGATGAGTGAGAGGGCGATGAGAAACATATCAGAAAAGTTCTGAACCTAGCTCACTCATTGACTCTCCCTCATTTTTGGGTGTACTATCCCTTTAAGACACCATAGGCACATATTATTTGCAAGAAACCTATCCCATAAAAAAACTCTAACAAGCAAAATGCAAAAAAATGCATTTAATAATGGATTACAAAACTGCTTAAAATATAATATACTTATTTCATTCTGTACAACATTGTATTAACAAACCTTTAAAATGAAATATTTTACCCAATATTCAAATGTGCTAAGCATTTGTTTATTAGAGTATGCTAATGTCAAAACAGTGCTGTTATTGTTAACTAAAACAAAAACTATTACCAAACATTTTTATTAATTAAAATGAAGCTGAAATAAAATTAGCTTAAGCATTAAGATTACAAAAAACTAAATAGAAATGTATTAAAAATGAAATAAAATGACAGAATAATATAAAATGCAAAAATAAAAGTTAATTCAAGACATTGTTAAATAATAGTATACAGATAAAAATAGCACTTTACCAAACTCTATTAAGATTAATTGTGATTCGTTTCTTCTCATGAGCACTAGTTGTGCAATATACTCAAATACTGTTGTGGGTTTGAGCCCAGTCAGAGACAATCCATGAAATTTTACTATTGCATCATTGACAAGACGCCTATACTACACATGGTAACACTATTTTAGTGTCCTTGAAACACGTTAAATGTAGTTAATATAGTATACTATACTAATATCTACTAACCATATAGTAAATATATGTAGTTAATTAATATTACTCAGTACTTAAATGTATAACTATACTGTAACATGGACAACTAAAATAAAGTGTAACCCCACATTACTTCAGGGGCAAGGTTCCTATAAGTGGCTTTGAACAAATTACGTAATTTTAGCATACACATTTGTTACAAATAAATAGTATAAATAGTTTTTAATTCTATACAATCATTAAAGACGAATGTACACGGTACCACGTTGGCTGTCATACAAGCTTGCAGTCGATTTGATTCTCTCAGGAGAAATCGTGTGGAAATCGTTGATGCTTGAAACTGTGTGCGAGGAATTATGAGCCAAGCCAAGTTATGAGCACCTATAGACAATTTTTAAACATGTTAGCTGTCCCCAAATCATACACAACCACATCACATATACTAGATCTATGAATATTTTTAAAGCCAAGTGAGTGACACACATACAAATCCACTCTCTAGTTGTCTTTTCACAAAATCATCTGAAGCTATAGCAGCAACATTGGAAGCTCCAATCTCCGTGTTTAGCATGAATTGCCGCCGGCTCGCCGTGTACAGTACAGTAGTGCCGTGTACCAGTGGCTTTGACACGAATATCTAGTAAAGTGTCCTCGGACGCCCGAGTGTCCGTCCTTGTCCAGTGTTCGCCCGCCTGAACTTAGTCTCTATTCATTTACTCACAGTTATTCATCCTGACTGGAGATCTGGATCACGTACCCCTACTATAATAAAACCGAGTCGTAATGTTAGAGCGACATTGCTGAATAAATTGGCCTCTTAATACGATTTGATAAGCGTGAGCAGTACCATGTCCATTTATATGACACAATGACAGCTCCAATCGGACATGTAATGAAGAAGGATCCCGTGTAATGTGCCATGGAGATATCTAATCATGTATGTGACGAAAGGAAAAGGGTCATTTCCAGTTCGTTGCTCAATTAAAAGAGATACGAGATCCTTCGTTGTACCAATCAGAGGAACAAAATCACCCTGAGAGCGGCCAATATAAACAGCAGACCATGGCTGTGTCAACTTAGTCTTGAATTTCTTTATGTAATGGTTAACAAATCCTGGTAAAAATAATGGCAATGCTAAAAAATAAGCAGAGGAACATCTAAAGCTGCTGCACGGCACTCCGGGAGGTATAATGCACACTAAAGCTGCTTTAATCATAAGCTAGTGTGGCACATTTGTGCTCTTTGCAGGGAAAAAAACCCCCCAAAAGCTGCAAATGTGCTTTTTCTCTGAACAAAAGTACGAAAAATAAACAAGGAATCGATAGCTGTCAGTGTGAGCTAAAGAGCAAAACAAAAGGAGTAAGGCAGAGTATGAGGAATGCTTTTGGCTCCCTTTTCAGATGCCATTCAACAAGTCAAGGCTGACTAGACAAGCTCAATGAGGCGTCTTGTAGTATGTTTTGTGGCTGCCTTACAAACATTGTTTGGTTATATAAAACTGCATTTGTGGCTCTAAAACAAAATCCAATTATGGAGATGAAAAAAAAAGCATGGTTACAGTGTTTTCAAAACAGTGTTCACACACTATCAATGTCAACATTTTCCAGAAAATCTCTTCTAATTTACGAGTAAAAGATGATTTTTTTTAATTTTTTTTTTTCAAAAACATCAATGACTGCAATGAATGCACAGGCCAGAACAAGTCCACTTCGGTTTATTATAATTACAAATGCACACACTCCATCTCTAGACAGATGTCTCCCTCACCACCTGTACATCTGAGCGCAGAAAAAGACATTTTATTCTCATTTGCTGAGTTTAATGAGAACCACATGTAATAACTGAACTTGGCCCTCCGACTGGCATCAAAATTCATAGCCGTGATTTGAAGCTCTGAGGCCTGACCAGAACATTCAGTTTAATAAAACAACTGCGTTTTCATGGTTCAGATGAGGCAAAACGCTGCATATTTCAAAGCGAGATGTGCCGATTCAGATGGGTAATGATTGTCCCCATCATTAAGGATTTGCCACACTGTATTAGTTTAACCGCTTTGATGCAGGAATTGTCTAATGTTCTCAGGGATTATTTTGACTTCAAAATAAGGCAATAATCATTAGCAATATGCTTTTGATCCCCTGCCAAAATGATTACATTAAGAGAGTTATACATCTGTCCACTGGAATAATATACAGTATTTCCGGGTACTTTGTGCATTATCACGTTTTGTCTGTTTCTATGTTGTCATACAATAAAAACAGACTGCCTCCAAAATAGCATACTTGTCTACTTGCACAGTATGTGAAAAGGGTAGTGTGTCCGAATTCACAGTATTCACAGTAAGTGTGCATCTGATGGACACTTTACTATCACACGACGCTGCAGCTAAGCAGGTAGACAACATGACAAATGTAATATGACTGCACCCATACATACTATAACACTGTAAAAAAAAAAAAATCATGATTTGTACACTGTAAAAAAAATATTGTTGGTTTAACTTAAAAAATGAAGTAAAAATGGCTGCCTTAAAAATTTAAGTTCATTGAAATGGAAAAATTGAGTTAATCCAATGAAGGTGATTGATTTAATCATCAGAAACTTAAAATATTATGTTATCTGAACTACATAAATTATTTAAGTTGATTTGACAAAAGAAATAATGTTGTGATTACAAATCACGATTTTTTTTTTTACAGTGTAATCACATTTTTTCTTTGTCAAATCAACTTAAATAATTTATGTGGTTCAGATAACATAATATTTTGAGTTTCTGATGATTAAATCAATCTCCTTCACTGTATTAACTCTTTTTTTCCATTTCAATGAACTTAAAATTTAAAATTTTAAGTTAAACCAGCAATATTTACAGTGAAGTAATTACTTATTAAAACGCAATACTTAAGAGAATGCGGTTTCATATGCAGCCACTGTTACATAAGAAAGACAACAGTCATAAAATTATGGCTAAGGGTCAAAGGTCAACATCCATGGTGGTTAGGAAGTAATATGCCGCCTTGACTTCTGAAGTCTTGATTACGAGCTTATCGCATTCAAGTGTTTTGTTGTAGGAAAGCGTAGGAATCATGGAGGACACCAGGTATATTCTTGATTTATTGGGAAAATCTTTTTAAACCCAAAATGATATTTAATGTGAACATTAGCTGCACTATCTAGATAGTCAGCTTGTTGACAGGTTATTTTTCGCTGTGCATAAAACATATACACTTCATAATAAAATAGGCTCCACAAAATTATATTAACAGCAAGACAAGATGATGTAGCTGTTATGAAGAAAAAAAAACTATTAAAGAATACCAGTCACAGCAGCAATCATTCTCCAGTCAACCATGTTTAAAGTTTATGGCACGACCAACTCGGGATCTCGGGTCTTAAAATTCTCACTGAGATTCCCTGTGGTAAATATCACATGAGTTCATGCCCATTTTTAACAAGGAAACTTGTGTATTTCCTGTGGATGGTTGAATTGGCTTTGAAAAGTTCTGGATTCCACGCATAAAAAAAAAAAAAGTAAATGTATTTTTCTCTGTACTTATTTAACCACTCTCACACTCTACCTCTACATCAGGCTAAATTGCAGGGAACAATACTAGCGGACCATTACAAAGAGACAAGATGCTGTGTTGCAGGGGCAGACATGACTGTGGTCAGGGCCAATCATTAAAACCAATGACAGGATAAAGTGTGTGTGTGAAATGGGCTACAGTAATTACTGTTCTTTGTTGTAATAGCTGTGTTTGGCCAGATCAGGTGTTATGAAGCAGACCACCACATACAGAGCATACAGAAATACACATACAGAGCATAGGAGGATACAGCAGGAGAGTCAGTGATAATTTATGAAGTGCATTGTATAAAAAATAATTAATAAATAGTAAATAATATAATGGGCACCTTACATTTACAATTCACTTGACTATCCAATTAGGATTACCACTTTGTTATCTAATATAATTAAAATAGAAACCACATCTTTATGATTTAAATAAAAAGCTACACAAGCAATCAATGTTGTTTTGATTATTCAG